TTTTGTATACAAACTACTGGTTCGCCAAGCTTTTCGATGATACGCAAGGAAAAGGAACAAGCGATTAATGTGAATCTGTGGAAGCGTTGTATAAATACCGGCTGAATCGGGGGTAGTATGGCAGTGAGCGCTGATGAGTACCGTTTAGTGCCGCAGCGCGCTATCCGGTTTCAAAGTAATATAATTTTAGATCCAAGCTTTTGTGGCGTTTGAATTGGGGATATTCGCGGGGAATTGGTTGACGTTCTGAACCTTTGGAGGCTCAGTTGATACATCAAATTTACAACATCTTGTGGGCCCAGTTACCCAAGATACAAAGCTAATATTAATGGAACCACCACGCAATTATTTCGCTTTTTCTCGGATCCCTGCAGCTCTTTTTGCAGCCTTACACTCCCATGACTCTAGACATCCTCACTCCTTCCTACTCATCGCTCCATCGGACACCCTCACTGCGGACAAACGATATCCTGCTCAAAACACGCGATGCGCCTCTGGACGTCGACACAACGGCCCCGGATGCACGAACGACGCTCGGGCGGCTCGAGAGGGCGGCAGATGATGGGCGAACAGTGTAGCGTCGGGAGCGGCAGAGGCTACAATAATAAAGTGAAGGATAAACAGTCAGTAGATATAATGGCGTAGCGTAGACTGGCTCGAACCCTGAAGACACTCGTCGCAGGAGCTCTGGCAGCAATATTCACGTCCTCTTGGCCAAGAACGGACGTGGAGAGCGCGCCAAGGACGAAGAGCGCAGCAGTAGGGGTGAAGCGCATCGTGGACTGAACACTGCGAGTGCAATTTGGAAGTGAGAGGGAGTTGGGTGAGGTTGCTGCCGTCTCGTTTGGAGGAAGAAGTAGGGTATATTGCCGTCTCTTTATAGTGTCAACAATACCCCGTTTGAGGCTAGATGAAGGCGCAGTCGCGAGGTTTGGTAATTCAACCACGCCACGTGACGTGTTCAAAACGAGTCCACCAAGAGTTGACATTGGCAGCTGTCAGGTCCATTGAAGGCAAGTATTGGGACCCGTCCAGATACCGCAGTGGCGCGCTGGATGTCGGTTTCAATTATCATAGGCGATGCAAGTAGTCGTTCCGGTAAGTAGGTATTTACCATAGAGGTTCAGAGCCAGTTAAAATGCATTGTTTTATTGCGGTTGAAGAAGGTCGATTATCGTCTTCACCAGTTAAGGTTGAAAATGAAACCAAGATATTAATTACTTGACAAAATTTTTGGCAACTGCGGTAGATATCCATCTGCCCGCGGCCGGCCTTCAAAGATAAAACACGACACTGCAAGTCACGGTGTTCACCGGGGGATTTCGATCGCCGCTAGCAGCTTACCTAGTGGAGTGGGCAGTGAGTGCCATTATGAAAATGCTACGTGCGCGGGCGTCGGGCGTCCATAGGGAATACGACGGGAAAGACCTTGGGTCTCGGGTGACATGTATTTATTACAGTAACACCCTTCAAATTGGCAGCGTCAATCTTTAACCTCGACTGATACTAAACAACACGCCACACGGCTTCTCATAAACATCAAGCCATACATACGCATCTGAATAATATCACAACCAGCATGGGAAAGCCAACTCCACGCCAATTCCAACGAAAGAGGAGGTAGGAGAAAGGAAGCTAAATGAGGTCTCTTCCCAGCATCCTCAGCCGCCCGGGTCGACCGCCCGTGGCTAGATTATTATCCGACCCTGTCTTCAAGCCCGAGTCTGACTTTCTCGTCTCCATCTGAAACATCATCCCCGCGCACAAACGACGCAGGCGGGGGTACCTGTCTGTACGCGACACGGCGAGGTCGACGTCGATGTCTGATCCCTCATGAGAAATCTCAGGCACACTTCGCGCTCGTCGGAAGGCCGGGGCTGCACGCCCATACATTAAATCCCCACACACGTAGAGCCGCCCGGCCCAGCAAAGAGAAAGAAGGTACCGGCACAATAGAAGAGCGCGGCGGCGGCGCCGGTGGGTACTGTACCAGTGGGCAGCATGGACGCGGAGTGCGGGGTATGTATGCAGACCTACAGTGTACTTGAATTAATTTACCCTCATTTGAACCAAGTCCTCAAGTCGTTATTTTCGAATAACACGTTGGCATTGACTGAACCCGTTTGGTGTTATATATCGCATTGCCTCTCAGAGCGGCTTACTATATTAATAAATTGCCTGTACAACTGTCATTCTTTCAAGTATTCATTATTCAAGTTTCGCGCGGGGAGCCGGCGTGCTTTCATTGGGCTTTCTGCATGGTATCAGACGCCGAGTTGCGGGAAGGTGCGATTTCTCGTATGTATTATCTACATTAGCCGCGGGTTCTAGCACGCACAAGAGGTAGTTGATGAATGCCTCCGATTCATAAAATTTGAATTCACAGACCACTGTAACCATATAGTCGGGCTCGGGAGATCTTCTGTGAACCCAAGAGACGACTCCCACTTGGAAAATACTGACCATTGCTCCAAACCTTGGCCTTGTAGCGTGTTAAGATTCCAACCAGATTATAATATTATCCTTTCAAAGCTTTGCAGTTGAATTATAATAACGGTGGCAAATAGGTAACGGTTTTGAGCATGCTCGTCAAGTTAATATGTACATTTTGATGGGCTGGCCAGATTCCGAGGTACCTAGGCAGGGCGCTCGTTCATACATCCCATCCAAAAACGTGAGTGCCCGCCCGCGAGCCGTCCTCCGCGACTGCCTCGCCTCGCGAGGCCAAAAGCGCTGAGGCGTGGAGCCCGCGTCGACGACTCGGAGACCGGGTGGAGCGGGGGCGGCGATGACACCGCCAAATCCGACGACAGCGCAGAGGAGGTGGACGAACAGCATCACCCCTAGTCTCTTATAAACAGACGCTACAACCTTGATGCTCGTACCTCGCATGTTTGTACATCACCCCAAGGCGGACCGCTGGCCACGGCCCCAAACACGCGCCACCAGTGCGCCACCACGCGCCCAGCCTCTGACCGCGCAGACCGACCATCGTCGCGCGCCCACTACGCTAATCCCGCCGACGGAGACACCGACTGGTTGGTGCGCTGTAAGCCTGTAATGAACGGCAATACACGTGATGTGGGCGGCGTTCCACACGTGTGCTGAGGGCGGCCGAAGGCTGCCTGCATGCCTTCGTACTGGCATGGCAGACGTGGCTTGGATGTGCTTCAACGGCGGTGCGAGGAGATGGAAAAAGCATGCACTTCAGGTCATTACATGCGTTCCCGCTCTCTGTCCGCCTCGGGAAACTTCACCCGTCACCTCCAGTCCCACCCGGGTACTTCCAGCCCTGCAAGAGGCCTCTAGCGCACCCTAAACAGCGTCCAGCAGCGACATAAAATGCGGAAAAGGAAAGTTGCCAAACAAATCAAAGCGTGGACTACCGTACTACGGTACGCGTACCTTGGCCCCGGCATACCCCGGCATATGCCAAAATGTGTTCAACGTCCGATCCAAAGTAGGGACAGAACACAGGTAGTCGCCCTGAGGTCCGATCCTTATGCGCACGCCCCAGCCCAGCTACAGCCACCAAATTTTGGCACGTATAGCCCCAGCGGGGTATCGTAGCCCTCCACGAAAATCTTGAAAAATTTCCCCCCAACATGCCAAAAAGGGTGCCTCTCGCAGCAGAATGTCCGATCGGGAATGCGCACTGAAATGGACGAAAAATGGACCATCTGATCACAATGCGTATGGATTTGGCGCAAAAAGGCACGGACGGAAACGCCCAAAATCTAGGAATCCTGATCGGACATACAACCACCCAATATGTCCGCACTCTGATGAGACATAGAGGCCATTTTTGACCCAACACAAGGAGGATAACCAAAAAATCCACGCCACAACATTCAAAAGAAAGGGACAAAATATTTACAATAACTTCCATGTATTCAGGACTCAAAGACCTTTGTGTTGTTTAAAATATCTTTCTCATATTCAAGGGAATCTGAAAGATATCCAAGATACAATGAAGTTATTCAAAGAACTTTTGAATCAATTGTGTGTTTTCAATCCACCGACATGCAAAGGTTATTGAAAATATTTTATCCATTCCTTTTCAATGTTTTGGCATAGATTTTTTGGTTATCCTCCTTGTGCAAATCCGTCAGCATCCAGATCGGACATACAACCGTATATGCCGGGGGCCTCTTGGAAGTCCCGAGAGGCTACACGTCATTTCGTCTAGATTGGGAATGCAACTCCGATGGCCAAACAAGGAATTTTCAGATCTATTGGCAGCTTTTACTATTCCTTCTTTTCTCGACATTTCTCGCAAATTCAAGCAATACTTTCCTACTCCTGCAATTGCGACCGTTCTACCATCCATATTGCTCCGCTGTCCACCCGTAGAGCTTCCCGTCCGGACCAATCTTAGTCACGATTCGCTCGTTTCTATCCAACGCAGTCACTTTCGAGACATCCTCCGCACTCAGAGTTGGCAACTATGCATCGATCAAGGTTAACATCGATTCGATCGCTGGGAATTTATATCCAACATGTACGGCGAGGTTCTCCTTCTGGCGATCGGGATTGGCACTCTTCGGAACAGCAGAAACACCGCGGGCGACATGCCACGAAAGGATGATTTGCGTGGGTGTGACGCCGTACTTGGTGGCGAGGGCGTCGATGGTCGGGTCGCTGCGAACATTCTCGTGACCGCTTGGGCTATACGCGGTGACCACGATGCCTTTCTCACGGCAATATTCAAGGAGCTCCGGCTGTGCGAGGTACGGGGTCATCCTGTTCGACCATAAATCGCAAGTAGCCGTCGAGCTGAAATACTGACTCGACCTGGTTCACCGCGGGCACGACTTTTGCGGTCTTGAAGAGCTGCTCAATCCTAGAGCCATTGTGAAACTGCGTACGGGCGGATCGATAGACGGGCTCACGTCTTGATCGAAAAATTGCTAACCCCAATGGCACGGGCGCGTCCACTGGAATATATCTTCTCCATCTCGGCCCAGGTCTCGTTGCACGTCGGCGTGTCCACAACTGTTGCCTCTGTAGATCAGCGGTTGATCACCTGAGAAATATTCATAGCAGGTTTCATTTCTTCAGGAGCTATGGGTTCGATCTCCACCGGAGGCATGTATGCTCTGACTTGGCTTTATTTTCGTTTTTTTATTCTTTCACCCTTTCGCGCGGCATACTTAGTCCTTCATGCAGCCCATACAGGGATGCCTCTGGTAGATCACATGAAAAGCATATACTTGGATAATCGTGCTTTTCTTCGGGAAATGTGGGTTCGATTCCCACCGGAGGCATGGTTCTCTCACATGTCTTTTCCCCCCTTAAATCTGGTGCGGATGCGCTAGTATACTGTACTGAATACTTGAATTAGACTACCCCTACAGTATTTGAATTTTGCACCACGGACAAAGTGTGATAGTCCTCGGGTCAAGTCGTTATTTTACTTGGGATAGACACGTAAATTGGCCCCAACTGCACGCGTTCGTTCGGCGTACTAATCCACGGCGTTGGAAGGGGGGTCCAAGGTGGCCGTGGACTCGGGACGTGAGCGTAAGCGCAGCAAGGACAAAAGTGTATGCAGGGCAAGGTGTCTTCCACCACGAGCCCGCTTCTCTCCGGGATTTGGGTGGGTGGGTGGGTGGGAGGGACTAGGTCAAAACGGGACGAAAGAACCAAGGTCGAACACGTACATACTACGAGCTCTAAATAAAACAAATTCAACCTTCGCCATCCGTCCCCGGACTTGTTAGTAACAAGCCACGATTAACGCACGCTTATTGCGTAACACCCAGGCCAAGCCGTCTTCTAAGTCAGCGAAGACGCGGCGGAGGCAAATACTGCGCACGAGATCCCGTATCCATCTATAGTTCGACGAAATTCAACCCAGGTGACGTACTGTACACGGTTTGAAGTTAAAACTTGAAGTTCAAATTAAAATCAAGTGGTTAGTTCTGCGATGTGTTGGCTGTCCATGTGATTGGATCGTCTCGAGGGATCAGACGTAAATCGCCCAGAGGAGCCCGAAGGCCAAGACTGTTGAAAATTCGAACCCGGGAATCGCCGGGCCAATGGCGTAAGATCCAAGTCGCGGGGAACGAGGTGACGTGGACAGGCTCCCTCGCTCATCGATCGTTCTGAAGAGGTGATGCTTGAAAGTGCCAAGTAATACTGCCCGCGGTTAAGCGTTTGTTTCCAACAGGAGAGCGCACGCGGGACCGGGACCGAGTCCAATCGATTGCGCCGACGGTTCGCGGCGTCGCCCCAGTATTTGTTTCGGGTTGAAATTCTCGATCGCTGAAGCGAGGCTCCTAGCGGTCGGACGTTAGATTAATTGAATTCTGGGGCGCGATGAGAATCGCCGAATTGGAGCAAACGCGAGTTGCATTAATCGGAATACGGACCACGGTTCGGTGTCCGTGATTGCGAAGTGGACCAGTGTGTCGAAAGGTGGACCAATGGCGTAAGTGGGTGCGGCTGAAGGCGGCGAGAGAGAGAAAGAGAAGAGTTTATGCAGAGAAGGCTCCCCGTACTTAGAGCCGCACTAGCTCCGAAGGCGTTGAACGGCGTTGGGATGGAAGAAGCCGGACGTCACTGTGACAGCGTGAGTCACACCTCCAGATTTGAGGCCGGGACGAACCGGCTCTCTCTTGCACTTTTCATGAAGCACGCGCGATTCTACACGGCGCTGCCCCGCGTCGGCCGCGTCCGCTCCAATTCAGCGTCGCGCGCGCTGTACACATCGTCCAACACCTCCCGCTCTCCTTTGACTCCCCGCAGGTCCTGAACACTTCGCCCGCTGCCTCATGCACTTCTGCGCAGACGAGGTCGACCGCCCTCGACCGGCCGCCGCTTCTGTCTCTGAGCCCCCCGTCGTTGCCCCGTGGGAGGCCTCGTATGCGTCGTCGTACGGCTCACGCGTGTCGAATTCAAACAACTTACCCCCGAGCACAAGCGCTAGCGCAGAAAACTCAGGCCGGGAGAGGAACGCAAGGGAGGATATTTATTCCTGCCCGAGTATGCCTCCGAGCACGAGTACAAGTCCACCCGCGGCGCCTACAGACACTGGCCACCGGAGGCCTGTGTCCAACCTGTGTCGGCAGTGTGCGTTTTTATTTTTATTTCATTTTCTACCTTTATTAATTCGCCCTTTTCGTGCGGCCTGGACTCCTATTGATACTTGAGCATGTAGATCAACTGAGGGTGATTCCACGTTTCTTCAGGAGCTGTGGGTTCGAATTCCACCAGACGCATACCACAATCTCTGTTTTTTTGTCCCCTCAGCTTGATATTTACTCTCAGTTTGAACCAGACTGACTGAAAATGTGTATTGAACTTGGAGACGGTACGAGAGCGTTGTGGGATTCAGATGCAACAGAGTTTGTTCAAGGCCGACGTCCCTCGAACCAAATAACTCTTTGAAGCTTTGGAGATTTGTCGCCGGGGGATCCACTCCGCCCCGCTTAGGCGTCCAGCACGGCATCAATCTATTGACTTGTCAGAGCTGCTGTCAGACGCGTAACAGCATTGCACAGCTGTTTTCACACAAATACACAGGCGATTTTGCAAGACTATAGCACAGCACCCCATTTCTTTCTCCCCTGCAGCCATGTCGTTCTCACATAGTTCTGGGGTTCATATCTCTGGAGGCACATTCTACGCGGCTGGCGGAGATGTGAACATTCAAAATAATCGACAGCTGGCGATTCAATCAACCGCGATCTTAGGCAATCTGGGCTCGCCGACAACCTTTTCGCGGCTCGGCTCAGATGGAGCCCCTGATATACCTACACCCTCGTTATTGGGTCCAGACCGGAATCATAGAAATATAGCCGGGAGTGAACGGCCGCGGCTCTTGCCTTACGGTACGTGTTTGTCAATTTTGTGTGTGTGTTGTCTCCTCGTGTACTCAGGCATCGCAGATACTGCCACGAGACGACCACCTTCCTCTCAGATATCGGTCCCACCCGATACCTCTCGCTCTCAGTACCGCACCACCTCCATGAGATCTGATTCCTTACCGACATCCCCGTCGGTGCCAGGTCACAGTGGCTATTCACGGCATGTTTCGCGGCCACTGGCAGTTCTTCCTGCTCCCGCTGATGTACGATTAACTTCCCGCTATCAACACAGTAGCTGATTTGGATTCACAGTATGCACCACACCATCAACCATCCACGATAATCAGCGGCGGATTATTTGTTACCGGGAATGTAAACAACATTCAAACAAATGGTACGTGTTCTATATACCTGTAAAAAATCCGTCTGAGCATTTTTTGTAAGGGATCAATATACTGTGTCGCCATGTTGTTCTGTCCGCCTCCATAACTCGGGAGAGAGCTTTATCGAGGCGGCTTGTCATCCCGGGACACGAAGTGCAATATTGAACCAGCTACGTGCTTGGTCCCTTGATGCTTCTGCAACTCGTCTACTTTGGCTCTACGGAACTGCAGTGGCCGGGAAATCGGCAATCGCCCAGACATTTGCCGGGATGTGCCAACAAGAAGACCGACTTGGTGGCTCATTTTTCTTCAAACGTGGACACGAGCAGCGCGGCACATGCGACGGCCTATTCGCGACACTCGCGTTTCAACTGACGCGTTTCTCCTCCGATCTCAACGCCGCCATACAGCAGGTCGTCGAAGCCGATACACTCTTGGTCGGACGAGCACTGGCCGTACAATTGCAGGAGCTCTTTGTCTCGGTGTTCAAACGGATTCCTCCACCCCATCCATTTCCAGTCATTGTCATCGATGGTTTGGATGAATGCAGAGATCACCGCATCCAGACCCACCTTCTGCAAATTTTGATTGGAGCCATTCAAGAACACCAGCTCCCGATTCGCATTCTTATTGTCAGCCGTCCGGAGCCACACATTCGCGATTTGCTCGGGAATCAATTTGATGTATGCGGGTAGCTAGAGCTCCGTGCGGACAAGTCATCATACGACGATATCGGAACTTACTTCTGTGCCGAGTTTGCACGGATTCGCGACAAGTTTGCCCGGATTCCTCGCGACCATTCGCCATCACGGTCAAGGACACTGCTCGACGACTCATGGCCCTCGCAGGCGGAGCTTTACCATTTGGTCCGCAAATCATCGGGAGTATTTATCTATGCATCCACCGTAGTTCGTTTTGTGGACGATAAATGCTCTCATTCCCAAGATCGCCTGAAAAGTGTCCTACAACTTGACCCGGACAGCACAGCACCTCTCGACGACTTGTACACCGAGATCCTCTCCTCTGTTTCGAACCACCCAACCCTTCTCCGGGTCTTACATGCAGCATTCCGCTTCAAACTTTTTCCGGGTCCACACGAAATCGACCTGCTCCTCGACCTGCCTCCGGGGACAGCCCGACTTACCTTGCACGGCTTGCAGTCAATCATAAGGATACCATCTGCCTTGACGCGGATTTCAAAACGACAAGGTGTAGAGGTTCTACACGAATCACTGCGCGATTATTTCTTGGATCCGGACAGGTCACGGTCATGGTGTCTCTGGACTCATGTGCTTGACTCGGCACTCGCCCACCATGTCGTCCGTTGTTTGGTCTCTCCCTTAAAGGAAGGCAATTTCCCAGAACTAATCAACTTTTACTAGTAAGTGTTTTCCGAACCCAACTCACACAATCAATTTAACATTTCATCAGCGAAATTTTGTGCTACGTGTTGTCCTATCGCAGTGAAATTCTTACTCCCAACCAGGTCTTTGATTTCCTGCGAAATCAACATGTTGAACCTCTGTGGTTCGTGGATTATTTCACATTCACCTCCACCTTGGTGCGGAAATGCCTCAAGGTAATGCTGGCTACCACGCGAGGATTGTATGCTGGGAGCTCATCCCCACCAGAGGTTTCCTTCAATACCGGCGGATCTGAGCAAAACACTCACGGATAGTGACTTCATCAGGCGATTTTTATCAGATCTGAAGCCACGCTCGGAGAGGTTGGCATCTCACCCAACCTGTCGACTCGACTCCATCTACATGGATATATTCTCTGCCAATCCCCTCCTCCTTCATGTGCTCCACATTCAGCTCATTGACGGACCGGTACTTCTGGGTTTCAACGTCCTCGCTCTTGGCTGTACCTACACAGTTTTCCGACCACTTTGCGTCTTTGATGGACTCATCAACGGTTCGTTCCCCGAGGGAGAGTCGCCTTTGGATTTCCTGTCCGATCCCCGGAGGGCTAGGAATCTATATGAGGAGCAGCGCCTTACCGCCGAGAAGGTGATTATCCGTTGGATTCGTCTGGTGAAACAATTCCTTGCGGGGGATGACTTTTACCGATATGATCTATCCAGGTGCTTTTTTCTTTTTCTTTTCCCCCTTGGAGTCTTTTCCGGTCCAATTCTTACACAACGCAGTATCTACCTACTAGAACTTCTAAGGAAATGCGTGCCAAGCCCAGTGCTACTTCACGAGATTGAGACATTTGATATGGCGGCCCTTTTTCCTCTGTTTGCGGAGAATGTGGATGGGGCGGATCCGACTCTCCGGGAATTTCTTGGAGTGCAATATTTCGATGCTGTTATTGACTGGTTGCATGTGAGGAGCTTTTATGTATGCGAGCGCGAGTGCGACACTGACCCTCTTTCCTTGCTACCAGCTATTTCCCAACCAGCCGATTGAGGCTATACAATTCTGGGAAAGACAAAGATCTGATGCCTGTCGATTTTGGGATTGGCTCGAATCTATACTAGAAATTCCGCAGCAAGGTTTGTCGGTATTTTGCCTACTCTACTGGTTTTGACTCGAAATGCAGATGCTGAGCGCACGAAGTGACCGGATGTGAAGCCGAAGTGACTGTCACGATATTAATAGCTCTAAAGAGGGCCGGCGAGTCAAGTATTTGCGGCGGCGGGGGGGCAAATAAAATAATAGCGGAAACCGAGGAAAGAATCCTTAGGTCAATGGTCAATCTCATACTCAGGCAGAGACTGTTTGCATAGCGGCGAAGATCTGGGAGCTTCCAAGATTTTCATCTCATTTATGGTACTGGCTTGAGCCGGAGACCTGAGGAGTTGAATTTCAACCTTGGGTGATCGCAGTTCAAAAGGATTGCTCATTTTCAGTTAAAACCCGGTGGTGGGGCGAGGTAGAGCAGGATAGAACTCATGATCAAGTACCCGATTTCTCAACCCGCCAAGCTCTTTTGATCAGTAGGTTGCAGCTAGACAATTGTTGGACGCAAACCTGCGGGAGGCATCCAATAAATAAATAAGTTTTGATTCAGACTTAGCATAACGGTTAAGCTGTACTATCCGTACCGCATTACACTGTCAAATTTCACAATCCTGCATTTAATTTTAGATCCAAGGACTTTGTGTCGAGCCCTCTTCGGTTGAATTGAAATTAGAGCGACGGCTGGATTAATTGATGAAGCCCGGTACTCGAAATTGGTTGAAGAGTTTATTGAATTTGGAGGCCTAGTCGATACTGTATATTAAAATTACAGCATCTTGTGAACCCATGCAGTTACCCAACACAAAAAAAAACCCTAAAATTCCGAAGATCAGGACACGATTCGGCTCTTTTTCTATCACCCCTAATAATCCTTCCCCACGCCTCTGGCATTCCTATTCATCGCTCCAGAGTGCAGACACCCTCCCCCCTGTCAGATAGTACTCTCGTCAAGCGCTCCAGATGCCCTCAGTCCTTCATTTCGTGTATTTCATGACGGCGAATCTTGCGATGATCGTGGATTTCATGACGGGGAATCTTGTCATGGGCAAGTAAGTAAACCTGAATGTCCTAGTAATTGGCTAAATATTAATCGCACCTTGACCAATCTCGTCGCGGGTGCTCTGACAGCAATGCTCATGTCCTCTTGGCCGAGAACACACGAAGCGAGCGCTCCAAGGACGAGGAGTGCAACAGTGGGGGTAAATATTTGCATCGTGTGTTGAATACTGCGCTTTGCAATTTAAATGAGTGAAAGGGAGTTGGGTATGTCGCGGCTCTTTTATAGTGTCGGATACATATATGCCCCGTTTGGCGGTCGCGACGGTTGGCAATTCAAACCACGTGACGTGTTCAAAATTCGACTGAGCTCGGAGAGTTCAATTACCTGGTACCCAAGGTACCCAACCCGTGGAAACTGCGATATATATGCATCTAAGGTACTGCCACTGCCCGTGGCCGGCCTTCAAACTTCAAACTTCACTGACCATCCCGGGAATTTGATCGCCGTTAGGGGCTTGCTTACTAGAGTCTTTTGGATCGGAAGGGATGTGGACAGTGCCATATTCCAATGCTACGTGTGCTGGCGCCGAGTTTACCTGGGGTATGGGAATTTAGTGCCAGTCCTTGATTTGGGCATGAATATTAATGACAGCGCGCCTCTTCGCACTCCATCTGCATTCTCCGCACCCAATGCGTTCATTTTCAAAATACACATCCATATCGTCTGAATCGGGCAACAGTCATCGCCTCGGTGAGTGCATTTCGTGCGAAACCTTTGGAGGCTCAGTCGATATATCTAATTTACAACACCTCAAACCACTGCATGTTACCGAAGACAAAACTCCTAGAACAATTCCGAGCAGACCAGGTAATGGCCATTCCAACTCCTGCATGTCTTTGGTCTTTCATAATCCTTTCCTTCGCTCTTCTCGACAGACACCCTCCCCGCTCCCCTCTCCCCCTCGCTCCAAACACCCTCACTCCAGACAAGCAATCACGATATCCAGCTCAAAGCATGCAATCCGCCGCCCTACGCAGACACTTCACGAGCAGGCGACAGGGTAGGGGCTGGCAGTGAGGCGTCGGGAGGGCGGAGGCTGTCAGATAAGTGAGTCGGCGTAGTTCGTACATAGACCTAGTCGCACCTTGATCAAGCTCGTCGCCCGGGGCTGGTCCATATGATGGACGAGAGATTCCAGAAGATGACAGGCCAAGAGATTCCGGAAGATGAATAGATGAGGTAAAAGTGAATAGATGTATATTATATAGCAAGTTTCAGCTGGGGGCTATGGGAGCTCCGATTCTGGCGGCGATGCTCGTGTCCTCTTGAAAAAGAACGGACGAGGCGAGGGCGCCGATGTGGCGAAGTGCATTGTGTGAAGGCTGCAATTTGGAATTCAAATGGGTGAGAGGGAGTTATGCATGTTCGGAATTCCTAGAGGGAGTTTGGTGGATTGCTGTCTTGTGTGGAAGGGATTGGATGAGTTGGCATGTATTTTATGGTGTAAATATAGCGTATTCCGCAGTGTCGGACGTGTTCTGTTTGAATCTGAAGGCGCGGTTGCGAGGTTCGGTAATTCAACCACCCCACGTGATTCAAAATCCAACCGAGTTTAGAGAGTTGGCAGCGGTGGTCGCTCCCGTAGGCATAAATATTGATCATGAACTTCTGTCATTTTAGTGTGGTTGAAAACGAGTCTTAAAAAAAAGTCCAGTTCAGCCTGAGACCAAACAACCCTCGAAACAGATCGACTTACTTCATACCAAATCCTTGTCATTACTGAGGTAGTACCTAGCCATCTGCCCGTGGCCGGCCATCAAAGTTCAAACTTCACCGTTCCTCTGGGGATTTCGATCGCTCGTAGCGGCTTGCTTACTGGAGTCTATCCGATTGGGCTGGCAGTGCCAATACACCGACACCGACTTTCCTTGGGGAATATGAGTTCGCGGTGCCAGTGAATTTGGGCACGTCACACGCCAGCTGCATTTCATCTGCATTCCGTGATATTCCTTCCCCGGATTCGTACTTAGTCTTCCGCGTGGAATGTGTCCATTTTTCCACTCAAAATCTTCTTCCATATTTAGATATCTACACGCTGATCAACGGTCGATCTTGGGTCGGTCCTAATTATGAGCGGTGAGCACTTTTCGTGAGGAGAGGCGAGGTCGACTCTCAGTCTGCATCTGTCCCACTCGGATGGATTATTTTATTTTATTTTATTCCTCAACCTTTCGCGTGGCCTAGACACCTACTTAGCACTTGATGTAACTACTGAAGGGAAGCCTCTGTAGATCAACGGCAGATCATCTGAAAAGTATTAACGGGAAAGCAATCTTTCTTCAGGGGTTTTGGGTTCAATTCCCACCGGAGGCATGTATGCTCTGACTTGGCTTTACTTTTATTTTTATTTTCATTTTCATCTCATTTTTATTCTTTCACCCTTCCGCGGGGCATACTTAGTCCTCCATGCAGCCCTTGCAAAGAAGCCTCTGTAGATCAATGGTTGATCACCTGAAAAACATATGCTTGGACATTCATTTCGGGAGATGTGGGTTCGAATCCCACCGGAGGCATGAGGCATCGGGAAGGATTTTTATTTCATTAATTCTCAACCTTTCGTAAGCCCTGGACGCCTACTTAATCCTCTACATACGTAACCTATGAAAGGAAGTCTCTGTAGATCAGCGGTTGATCACCTGGGAAATATGATCTGGGTACACATTCATTTCTTCAGAAGCTGTGGGTTCGACTCCCGCCGGAGATATGGTTAAGTAGTAGCCTTTTTTCTTCTCTTTTACTTCATCGGATGCGGGGTGCTAGTTTACTGTACGCGCAGAGCGAAAATCCCGCTTGAAGTTGCCGGTCCTGTATCATTGTTTTATTTGGGAATACCAATGGACACACGTTGGCCTCGACTGCGCCCGTTCGGTGTACATACTAATCGACGGGTTGGAACGCAAGTCCGAGGTCACAGGTCGGGACATAAGCGTAAGCGCAACAGGGCGAATTGCTGCTTCTCCCCGGGATTTGTACGCAGTACATAGCCGTGGGAGGGAAGAGGTCAGAGCACGGGACAGAAAAAACTGGTTGGAACACGCAGGGTGTACTTGCCTACATAGCGAGTTCTAAATCAAACAAATTCAACCTTCGCCGTCCGTCCCCGGACTTGTTGGTAACGAGCAATGATTAATGCATGCTTATTGTCGTAAGGCTGTCTTCTCAGTCAGCGAGGACGCGGCGGAGTCAAATACTGCGCCGAGATCCCGTATCCATCCATAGTTCGACAAAATTCAACCCAGGTGACGTACTGTACACGGTTTGAAGTTAAAACTTGAAGTTCAAATCAAAATCAAGTGGTTAGAAACTTAGTTCTGTGATGCGTTGGATGTCCATGTGGGCGCATCGTCTCGAGGGATCGGACCTAAATCGCCCAAAGAGCCCGAAGGCCAAGGCTGTTGAAAACTCGAACCGGGGAATCGCCGGGAAAATGCCGTAGGATCCAAGTCCCGGGGAACGAGGTGACGTGGACAGGCTCCCTCGCTCATCGATCGTTCTGAAGAGGTGATGCTTGAAAGTGCCAAGTACTGCGTGCTGTTCACTGAGAGTTAATAGAAATAACAAATAAGCAGAGCGTTCTGTCAAGTTGATCAGCCCGCATGATATCAACTCGAGACCGATATGCGAGATTTCACTGGAGACTGGAAGTAAAACCGATGAGATCCCGCGCAACAGTATTTGTTCATAATGATTTAGATGTAAACAACTTACATACCACACCGTACGTGACGCGAGGTGGCGTGAAGTTAATTTACTTTGTTGGGACGGCGACCTCAGGTGTCGTGTTAAGGGTTTGTTTCCAACAAGAGAGTGCGCGCGGGACCGGGACTGAGTCCAATCGATTGCCGACGGTTCGCGGCGTCGCCTCAGTATTTGTTTCCGGTTGCCTAGCGGTCGCACGTTAGATTAATCCTGGGGCGCGACGAGCATCAAATCGAATTGGAGTAAACGTTAGTTGCATTAATCGGAATACGGCGTTGCGGTGTCCCTGATTGCGAAGAGGACCGGTACGGCAGTGTATCGAAAGGTGGACCAATGGCGTAAGTGGGTGCGGCTGAAGGCGGCGAGAGAGAGAAAGAGAAGAGCTTTGCAGAGAAGACTCCCCGTAGAGCCGCACTAGCTCCGAAGGCGTCGAACGGCGTTGGTGGGATGGAAGAAGCCGGACGTCACTGTGACCGCGTGAGTCACACCCTCAGATTTGAGGCCGGGACGAACCGGCTGTTTCTCTCTCTTGCACTTTACATGAAGCACGCGCGATTCTACACGGCGCTGCCCCGCGTCGGCCGTGTCCGCTCCAATTCAGCCTCGCGCGCGCTGTACACATCGTCAAACACCCTTCCGCTCTCCTTCTTCGACTCCCCGCCAGTCCCGAATACTCCCCGCAATGGCCCGCTTCTCACCACCCACCGCCTCCCCATCGAGGGAAAGGGCGAGCTCGAGGGGCCGAACAACAACCCCCACCCCACCCATGCCCCGCTCGCTCTCGCAGCGCCACATGCTCCGGCAGCACCACCGCACCCCGCCCAGCTCGCTCTCTTTAAGCCCTACACCCCTGGTCATACCCCGCGAGCAGGCCCTGCACCGGCAGCGGCAAGCACCCGTGCGCACCGTCGCCGTGGCCCGCGGTACACCCTCGACGTCGCCGCGTACGGTATCCCCAAGCGCGGGCACCATGCGAGGGGAGTACATACCCAGGTGCAGACGGATGCCCCGCTCGCGGTGCAGGTCGGCGAAGACGCTTATTTCATCCGCGAGAATGCAATGGGCGTCGCAGATGGCGTTGGTGGATGGGCGCGCGTGAAGCATGCAGGTGTGTGGCGCTCATTTTTTTCTTATTTTCTGGCCTTCGCCTTTTGCGTACACTCTTTCAACCTCCCATTACGGGTGTTGTGTATTGTGTTATGCCTCGAGACTTTATTTACCACTCTTCATTCCGTTCAATACATATTTTTCGCCCTTTACATCTTTCTTCCTTCCCGTCAAACACATGCTGACTCTCATTTCCTTTCCCAGCCCCAGGTCCCTCCTCCCCAAGCGCCTCCGCCCTCTTCGCCCGCCGCCTGATGCACTTCTGCGCAGACGAGGTCGACCGCGCCACCTCCGCTGTCCCCGAGCCCCCCGTCGTCGCCCCGTGGGAGGCCACCTACGCATCGTCGTCATCCTACGCGTCGTCCTCTTACGCACCACAGGCGTCGTCGTATACGCAAAAGACGTCGTACGGCTCCCACGTCCAACACGCGGCGTCGACCTCGTCATCCTATGCGTCATCGTCCGCACACCGGCTCGACGCGCCCGTGCCGCACGTTCCGTGGGGGCACGAGCCCTATGCGTCAACGTATGCGTCGACGTACGGCGCGGCGGACGGCATTCCGTACGCATCACCTTACGACACATACGACTATGATGCCCCCTGGCAAGCGCCCGCAGACACCCTGGACGCGGCGCTCGCGCACGAGCTGGACGAGCTCGCGGACGGGCTGGACGTGCTCAACATTTTGGAGCGCGCGTATGAGCGGACGTTGGGCGCGCATGTCGTGCCAGCCTTTGTCTCAAGTAGCTCCTCCGCGTCTGCTTCCTCAAGTACGTCAAGTACCCCCCCTCGGACAAGCACACCTCCGACGCCTACACCTACGCCGAAATCGCACCCGCACCCCCTGCTCTCCGCACTGCCACTTCCATTCGCACAGAGGGAGAGGGAAAAGGAGGTGGAGATGGTGCCGCTGCGCGCGGGGTCGAGCACGGCGCTCGTGGCCGTACTGGACTATGTGCGGGTGCCGGCGCATCCCGAGGGCGACGCTGCTGCACGGCCGGGGAGGTCGAGGTCTAAGGCCCACCAGCGGGAGGGGTCGGGCTCGGCGAGGTCCAAGTCGCATTCCAAGTCGACTTTGACCTCCGATACAATCGATGTCGAGTTAGAGAATTCAGACCCGAACAACGCCGACACGGAGCTCACGCCCGTGCTCAAGATCGCGAACCTGGGGGACTGCATGGGGATGCTCGTGCGCGGGGGCGAGGTTGCGTGGCGCAGCGAGGAGATGTGGTGGCGGTGGAATACGCCCGTGCAGTTGAGTGCGGCGAGTTGTGGGGGGAGCACTTCAAGTACGGCAGCTGGAAGTACATCTGCGAATACGGTAAAGGGGTGGTGGGGCCCTCCCTCTGCCTCTGCCTCCACCTCCGCCTCCGCCTCCACTTCCTCTGCGAAATTCAGCTCAACAAAATCCGCCCCGAAAGCCGGGCAGCCAGAACCCTCCGCACGCGTCGAGATCACGCCCTCGTCCGCGGCGCACGTCTTCACGCTCCCCGTGCGCGGGGGCGACATCGTCATCCTCGCGAGCGACGGGCTGGGGGATAACCTGTGGGACGAGGACGTGCTGGAGGAGGTGGGGCGGGTGGGGGGGATGTTCGCTGGTGAGGGGGGATACCCTTATCCTGGGGCGGCGGAGGGCGTGGATGTTAGTGCTGCCGAGGCGGGTGTTGACGGAGGGAAGGAAGGTAGTAAAGACCGAGGAGCGGGAGTGGACAGCGCGCGGCTGAGGCGGCGGACACTCGCGGGGCTGCTGAGCGAGGCGCTGTGTTCGCGCGCGAGAAGGGTGGCGACGAGAGGCGGAAGGGGAGGGAGGGGGAGGTCGTGTGCTACGTCCTCCGCTGGTGTTACTTCTGCGGACGCGTCGGCGGCTGCGGGGAGTGCAGCAGCATCAGAGGCCAAGGCAGCAGAGCAAGAGCAGGCAGAGGAGGGAGAGGCGGAGGACGACGAGACGCCGTTCGCGCGCCGGGCGAGGGAGACGGGGAGGGTGTTTCGTGGGGGGAAGAATGATGGTGAGTTGACTATCTTTTATTATCGTTACCTTTCTTCTACCTCCGCGTCTTCCTTCATCTTTTCTCTTCCTCCCTCTTTCGCGAACACTAGTCCTCCTCTTTCTACCCCTCCTTGCCTCTTCCTCTTCGCCTTCTTTCCTTCCCTGTTCTTCCTGCCCGACCATGAGCGCTAACACGCCTGCAGATATATCGGTGATCGTCGCAGTCATCTCGCCCGCGTACGGGTCTGGGTACGAGGCGGCACGGGCGGTGGGTGGGTGAGATGGGTTGGCTGTATTTCGGGGGCCGAGGACGATTCGATTTGCCACGGACCGAGCAGCACGCACGGACCTACGCAGCACTCGACCGACGCATACGATCCAACACGACTTACGATCTACCGACGCATAATATGGGCCATCCAAACACATATGGGCGATTCCGACACACACACCCCACTCTGCTTATAACTAACCATACGTAGATGTCTATGTGGGCGGGAGTAGCCAGCGCGGTGGCGCTACATACGTAAAAGCTTACATGCGAGAGATACGATACAGCTGTAGGGTACCAATTGTAATTTTTGGGTATGGGTTCGTCTTGGGTTAGTGAAGGTGAAGGTCTTGCACTGGTGAGTGATAATTGGTCATGAGGTTTGGGAGCGTTGCGGACAGATTTTCTGTACCTTAATCATATGAAAGAGGGAGCGAGCACGGCGATCAGAATTGACAAAAGCGGACGAGAGCGGTTGTTGGCTTTGGAGCATACTGTCAACAATATGTACCGTCTCCAAAAGTCCAATGCACATTTTCGGTAGTGAAAAGGAAAAAGTCGAGGGGAAATTTCAAGCTGAGGTAAAAACATACAGCCCACTTCAGGCTTATGCCTCTGGTGGGATTCGAACCCACAGCTCCTGAAGGAATGAGCGCGGCAAGCCTATAATTTTCAGATGATCAACCACTGATCCACAGAGGCGTCCTTAGGCAGATTGTGTGGGAGATTACATAAGTACCAGGGCGCGCGAGAGCGAATGATTAAAATTAAAATAAAAATAAGTCGCCACAGCTCCTCCCGAAACGCACTCAGCGAATCTCATAATTAGGACCGACCGTTCATCGACGTGTAGATGATGTGGAAGAGGATTTTGACTGGAAAAATGGACGCATTCTGCAGGGAAGACTCGGTGCGGATCCGGAGAATGTGATAGAATGTACAAATTCAGAACTGGCACCGTAACTCGTATTCCCTATGGACAATCGACGCCGGCGCACGTAGCATTCGTACCTCCATTCCAATATACTACACCGCCAAAGTGCCGACACGTTAATACCACCTGAAGTGGTCAGATAGCAGACACATTTTTGAGAACCTGTCCCCAGGTATCCACCAGGTAGCTTCCAGCTACATCCGTCAGCTGGGATTTCAGCTTTCCGGCAGCTGCACACCCACGTGAATGCAACATCATGCGGCCAGCTTCTGTCCAGGCTACTTTGAAAATAGTAATCTTTCGAGGTTATTCATTTTATTAATGTACTGTACATTTCTTAACTACATAATGGTCTTTTGAATCCGTTCTCATCAGGAGTCTGGGCGAACACGCGCTACCGCTCCTGAGGGAGACTGCTTCCAAAGTACTGATCCAGTCAGAAAGTCGGAAATATCTGAGTGTATTTTTAAGGTTTTAACACTGGATTGCCATATGCCAGGATGCGGTTTTTGTAGCCAAGTTGCTCGAGCGCTCGACTCTAAGTCGACTCGAAGGTCCGTGCGTTTGTTTGGCATGGCGTCTATCATCACGTGCATGTTGCTCGCTTGCAAACACGTCTTTCCTCCCTTCTCCCACTACACCGTTTACGGTTTACCGCACTGGCCTCTTTCACCCACATCAACATCGCATCCGCTTCAAGCACAACTGCCGATGATACACTCGTCAAACCATCTTTCTCGGCACGACGACGCCCACATCCCGAATGGCCTCCTGACGAAACTGCGCATACATGTCGAACCTAATTCCTGTTGAGTCTCCTACCTGTTACCTCCCCGTATCAACAAGTTCTTGGATCAAGTACCCGGTCCTCAACATCGCGGTTGTCGTCCTAGCCTCAAGTCGGATACATCAGCTCATGGATCTGGTTATCGCATGTTGTACTCAAGCTCAGTCTTAACCTGATCTTCAAGTCCTCAAGCTTAGTTTTCATGTCCTCAAGTTTCGTCCTTGGATCCTCAAAAGTTCTTCGCCAACAAGCTGGAACTTTTCTCCGCTACTGTACAAGTCTTCAAGTTTTCAAAACTATTCAAGCCCTCAAATCAAAGCCCAACTCTCTAGCTCTCCCACCCTACTCTCCTCTCGCTGGATCGTCTGGTGGTTTCGTACGACTGCAGCTCGATCTTCTGGATTAAGTCCATGCCTTGACTCCTTATCCATTGGGATGCTGCCTTCAAAGCTTGGCTGCGAACAGATTGCATGTCAATAAAGGGGATATCAACGAACGACGGTTGCACTCACGAGACTTCCGTCATCCTTCCCTGCTTGTATGTCCGCGCAGGTCGTTCTACAACTCTATTCAGTAAGTAAGTAATGTACCACAAGTTAGATAGGTATTTAATCCATGTTATTTTTGCTGCAATATGGTGCGCTAGAAATGAATAATAAAATAAAAATAAAATGTGCATCTGCTCCCACAGGCCCTCGCCAGCTCCGACCGCCAGCTGGTAGCCAGATGAACCTGGCCCCAGCCTGGCCCCATACACGAATAAACCTGGCAGCCAGTCCACAGTCAGCTGGCGACCAGGTGATTCCGATATGTGTCCTGCATGTCGACTTCACCTGTCGGCCACGTGTCTGACCAGTGCCGGTGTATACCAGCAAGTGCTAAAAACTACCAGCGATCGAGATCCCGAGATGGACAGTGTTGGAACTTTGAAAGCCGACCGCAGGCTACCTCCGTTCAGTCTCCTTTGCCAAGGATTTGGTACCAGGTAATTCGACCTGTTTCGGGTGTTCTGTTTCAGGCTCGACTTTTTTTTCAAGACGCAGAAGGTAAGCTTTCAACCACACTAAAATGATGCATTTATACTACAGAAATTTTTGATCAGATACACCTACGGGAGTGACTACCCACCGCCTGGGATGATTAAAAGACGAAATCCGAGGTGCGAGTACAGCAGTTGTCCGGGACCCCTGGCGACTGACAGATGTCTTGGTGGGCGTAATTTTGAACACATCACGTGGTGCGGTTGAATTTACCCAACGTCTGCGACCGCTAAACGGGGCAGACATGAATTCGACACTATGAAAGAGCCGGCGACATACCCAGATCCCTCCAAAGAGACGGTCATATATTCGCCTCCCTCTCATTCATTTAAATTCCAAATTGCACGCCCAGTAACTGTATTCAACCCACGATGCAAATATTCCCTACTGCTGCACTCCTCGTCCTCGGCGCGCTCGCCTCGTCCGTTCTTGGCCAAGAGGACATGGACATTGCTGGCCGGGCTGCCCTTCTTGCGCCGACCTTGCCAGTGATCAAGGTGCGGGTCCCTGCTGAAGCACATCCACTCACTTTTAACGTCTATTCTCTGGGAATCTCTAGCCACCTGTGACAACCGTTATCAAGGTGCGAGCCCCAGCCGAAGATTGCTAAGGGCATCTACTCACTTTTAATTCATCTATCCATCTGCTGGAATATACAGCCGCCTGTGACGACCGTGATCAAGGTGAGAGCCCCTGCTGGAGATTACTATGCTATATACATCTATTGACTTTCAACTTCTGGAATCTCCAGCCGCCTGTGACGACCGTGATCAAGGTTCGAGCCAGCGTATTCACTGTCATTATATCAACTTCGACTGACTTATCCTACAGCCCCCGCCCCTCCCGACGCCGCACTGCCCGCCCCTCCCCTGCCGCCCGCTCGTGGAGCGTCGTGCCTGCGTGCAGGGCCGCTGTGTCGATGTGGACAGGCGCATTGAGCTACAGTGTCTTGAGGAGGATATCGCGATCTTGTGTCCGGAGTGAGGATTTTTGGAGCGATGAGCGAGGGAAGGTGTCTGCACTGTGCACTCTGGAGTGATTCGTAGGAAGGCCAGAGCAGCAGGGAAGTATTATTAGTGCCCACAGAAAAAGATATATGTACAGGGATCAGAGGAAGAGTAATGGCCAGTTCTAGGAGTTTCGTGTCTTGGGTAACTGCAGGGGTTTAGTACATACATGCTCTAAATTTGATATGACTGGACCTCCAAATTCGCTGAACTCGTCAATCAATTTCCCGCGAATAGTGAGCTCTATCAACTAATCCAGCAACAGTCCAATTCCAATTCACCCGGGCCCAGCGCGGCACGGCACAAAAGTCCATGGATTTAAAATTAAATGTGGTACTGTGAAATTGCTGTGGCACGGAAAGGACATCAGAACGTTCTCCGTTATGCTAACTCAGGTTCAAAACATGCTTATTTATTGTATGCCTCCCGCAGGTTTGCGTCAACTGTCAACTTACTGGTCCAAACCTGAGAGCTTGGCGAGCCGAGCAAAAATTTGTACTTGATCATGAATTTCATCTGGTTCCAGCGCCGTCCGCAATTTCGTCTCCCAGCTTATGCCTTCCAAAAAATGTATAATATTTTTTGAACTGTGATCACGTGCCCAGGTTGAAATTCAACTCCTTAGAGGAGTTTTTAGTTTTAGGTTTAGGTCAGTACCATACATGAGATAAAAAATCTTGGAAGCTCCAAGAACGTCGCCGCTATACAAACAGTCCTCTCCCGATACAGCATGAGATCTACTGTTGCGCTCCTCTCGCCGCCCAACTAACTCACCAGCCCTCTCTAGAGCTTTTGATATCGAGGCAACCACTTCGGCTTCACCCTCCGCTCACTTTGCGCACTAAGCATCTTCATTTTGAAAAGGTCAAAACCAGCGGGGTAGCGAAATACAGACAAGCATTGGTGCGCAACTTCTTGAGATTCTACGGCTCGAGTGGATTCCTGCCGTGGACCCAATCCCAAAATTGGCAGGCGTCAGATCTTTGTCTTTCCCAGAATTTTATAGCCTCGATCGGCGGCTCGGAGAATAGCTGGTAGCAAGGGGAGGGAGTCAGTGTCACTCGCATTTACATAGGAGCAAGAGTTCCTCACATGCAACCAGTCAATAACACAATTGAAATATGGCACTTGAAGAAATATGGGGTTAACCGCGTGCATCTCATCAAGATTCGCCGCCAACAGAGGAAAGAGGGCCGCCAGATCAAATGTCTGAATCTCGTGAAGCAGCATTCGGCTTAGACTACACGTCCCTATATGTACCAACTGGCACCTGCGCTGTGTCAGAATTTGGACCGGAAAAAGACAGCCAAAACGCACTTGAGTAGATCGTATGGGTAAAAGTCATCCCCCGCAAGGAATTCTTTCACTACACGAATCCATCGGATAATCACCTTCTCGCTGGTGTGGTGCGGATCTTCGTATAAATCCCCAGCCCTCTGGGAATCGGACAGGAAATCGAAAGGTGAGTCTCCGTCGGGGAAGGAAACGTCGATGAGTCCATTGAAGGCGCAAAATGGTCGGAAAACCGTGTAGGTACAGTCAAGGGCCCGGAGGTTAGAATCCAGAAGTACTGGTCCGTATGCGGGTCCGTCAATGAGCTGAATTCGGAGGACATCGAGGAGGAGGGGATTGTCGGAGAAGATAGTCATGTATATGGAGTCGAATCGACAGGTTGAGTGAGATGACCTCTGGCGTGGCACCAGATTTTCTAAAATTTGCACGATGAAGTCACTATCTGTGATTGTTTTGCTCAGATCTGCTGGTATTGAAGGAAACCTCTGTTGGGGATGAGCTTTCAGCATGCTCGCGTGGTAGTCATCATTACCTGGAGGTATTTCCGCACCAATTCGGAGGTGCCCCTGGAATAATCCCCGGACCCGAACCACAAACGTTGAACGTGTTCATTTCGAAGGAAGTCGAAGACTTGGGCCGGA